TTTTCCATTAAAATCAGAGCTTGGATACTTCCTAGAATCTTCTTGCCAGCTAACTTGGAGATGCTGTGAGTTATAGCCTGAAAAGTTAATTTCCAAAGCTCCGAACCTGGCAGTGGCTCTGGTAACTTCAGGGTGTTTTAAGCGAAGTGCTTCTATTAGTACTTTGCTGTTGCTGTGGCAACATATGGGGTTCAAGAAACCACACATTCGTCACTGGTAGGTCCTGAACAATAACTAGGCATGTGGAGAGATATGACAACTACATTTCTCTTAGTAGTCAAGGCTTGGTAGTACACATCAAAGGAATGTGTGGCCCTCCAGGTATCTTTGGAAAAGCAATTCCCATCTCTCCCTGGGCAACATACATAGCTAGTGGTGAGATGGGAGTTGTAGACCAACAGTATCCTCAGCCCAGCTCTTATGGCAGTGCCTATAGGCCTGAAGGGAGGAGCCACTCTGATACCTTCCAGTTACCAAAGAGACTCGTTCAGGTTCTAAAAAGTAACATAATTTCAATTAGGCATGATTTTGAGCAAAGGGATTGGGGTTTACATTTTGATTGTTTTTAAAATCATTTAACCAGAGTCCAGGTTGGAAGCACTGAGGTGGGACGTGCCTTAGTGCAGCCACACATTTGATGGGACACACCATAGCAGGGTGGATTTGATTTAAATCATGATTTAAATTTTTAAAAAATCAGATTTTTTAAAGATTTGAATTTAAAAAATCAAATTTTCTATTTAAATTGTGATTTAAATCAATTTGATTTTTTAAAATATCATTATCTACCCTCCACCTTAATGAAGCCACCAATCTAAGTGGTGATGACATAGTCAAAGTTTGGCATATGAACTGAGTCCCTATGAAACAATGCATTCCAAGTGACTCAATAGCTATTTCCATTGTGTTTGAACAGTGATGGCTGATTTATAGAACTCGTGGATGCTTGATGTTCTGTTTCCTCACATTTCAGTTGTACCATCAGCTTTTTCTTTTCAGTTGTCTTCCATATGCTACAACATCTAGTGCACTTCTCCTTTGCAGAATATTCCTGACTCCACTTCATTATAGCACACTGCAGTTGCCAAGCTTTAAAAAAAATTATTATTCTGGAAAAACCATTTGTGGGCCGTGGTGTTATGAGACTATATTGGCCACCCTGCTTCTTCTGTGGAGGCGGGTGCTTTTAAATGCAGAAGCCAACTGTCTTAACAGGCTGGAGCCTAGATTTCATTTTTATTTTTATTGCTGGCTAGGGAATATTCTTTGCCAGGAACAAAACTGATTTAGTGGTAAGCAACAGAAATTTTAGTACAAGTCTGTATGCCTTATAAGGCATATCTCAATTAAAGGAGATGCAGCAACTCAAATTTTCTGTGTCGATTTTAGCTTCTGTCTGGGAATTGAGAACACGCCTTTCTAAATTCTGGGACCAGATCTAAGGAGGCCTTTGACAAAGTGGTCTTTGGTGGGCCTAGATGTAACAGCCATGATCCAAGCAGCATCAGCTGATTAGATGTAACCTAGCCATTAAAAAAATTATCTCACAGCCACACAACCTTTGGCACTTCAGATTCCATTGGGCAGTAATTCCCACTAGGTCTCACCATCCTAGTCAATGATGAGAGATGATGGGAACAGCAGTTCTTCCACATCTGGAAGGCCACAAGCTCCTTACCCCAATTCCAGAGAGAATCTGCCTGAATGCCCTAGTAGTTCCTGCCTGTGCTTGTAGACTTCTATATCATTATTTTTAATCACAAGAAGTTATTCTGGATGTTAGTATTTTTTTAAAAAATGCTACCTGACCATAAGGTAAAGAAGCTTCTTTAGATAGCAAATATTGTGAATTAGTGAAAAATAGTCAAACAGCCCAAGGTTGTTGTTGCCTGAGGCACAGTAGTAAGCATCACACTCCTGCACCCATGCCAAGTTGTGCAGTACTCAAAACCAACCACATTATTTTGACAAGAGAGAGAAAGCAGCATTTTCCATCCCTAGCAGAAAATACAGTGGTGCCTCACAAGATGATTTTAATTCGTTCCTTGGAAATCACTGTCTTGAGAAAACATCATCTTGTGAAAGCTAGTTCCCCATTGGCATGTATTAAAATCTATTTAATGAGTTCCAATTGGGGAAAAAATCACTATCTTGCAAAAATCATCTTGCAAAACGCAATTTCCCATATCATCTTGGGGAAAAGCAATCTCCTCACCTACACTGCCTTTGGAAATTCAATGGGTCTTAGATGACCTTAGCCCTTTTTCTCTCTCCAACAATAAAGAGGATAAAAGGAATCAAAGCAGCCCTCTGCCTCCTGACAATGGTAACTCCATTTGCCCTGATCTGTTTACCACAAAGTAAAAAAAAGAAAGGAATATAAAACATTACCAGGACTTACTACATTTTTGTAATAGATCCTGATAAGAAAAAAAGAGATGAAATTTAGAAAAAACAATCAGAAGTGCAATCTTCCATTAATACAAATTATGCAGTTGAATTCCTCACATTTAGAGAAATCACAGGGATTAGCAACACACCTAGAGTACCATAATGAGCCTTTCCCTTAGAAAACCACTTTTGTTACATGGTATTTCTCTTGCAAGATATGAGTTAAAATAGCTCTGTCACCTCCTACCCCCTTCTGTCCCCCGACCCCCCAATTCATGGTGACCCCCTGGTTGTACCTCCGACTCAA